CGTTTCCCAGGTGCCTCCTCACAATCGCCTCCTACTCCTCCCCCTCTCACTCCCGGCGGCCCGGTGCGGCGACGATTTCATATGCACTTTTGTACAATGTTTCGTACTCCCTGCGCAGTCCCCCGCGTGATCTTGGACGTGTCCACACCCCGCATCACAGAGGTCTTTTACGACTACTCAGCGTCGGCGGACGGGTGTCGGGTTGTCGGGTTCGCGAACCCTAAACGAGTTGTAGAATTAATAATAATATATAAATATCTGTTTCACTCCATGCTCCCTGTTTTTCTAAGACCAAAGAAATTTGATTGGAAGTCGTAGGCCAAAGATGAGCCTGTGGCTGGGCCCTGGCAGTGACCGGCGGTGAGAGGTGGGGAAGGGGGAAGGGGACTGGGGTTTTATGGATGAATGTCGAACTCCAACATTGTAAGAACGTGTAAGAACATGCGCAAAACGATTTCTAATTTGAGGCCCGGTATGCGCACGTGAAGCCTTTTTAGACCACATTGAATGTGGGCTTTTCGGATTTTTGTCGTGCAGACACCTTTGGACGCTCCGCTGGGCTCTCGCTAGCCGCGCGGGGCAAGGGAGCGAGGCGGGGCCGGGGACGGAAGTCTTTTCTGGATGACCGCAAAACTTCCAAGCAGTAATCGGAGTCCTTCGCTGAATCATTCTGTGGATGACCACCCCTGGTGCACTGTCAGAAAAACCTACAGCCACTGCTGTAAAAATTGTCACTATACAGAGTGAAAAGTACAGTTTTTTCACTGTTATATTTCAGTGTTATCACCCTACAATATACAACATCGAGGTTTAAAATTGACAGTATTAAACTGCTGTTAAACTGTGGATTTTTATGGCAGTGTGCGGGTACGTGGCCTATTGTTTGATCATACCAGACGCAGACTCCAAGTTTCTCTCCGCTGCTTTCCGTCATGAGGACATATAAGTAGCGGCCATAAGTACTCCGCTTGGGTTACGAACCTTACCTGAATGCTGCCTCGCAGCTTGAATTCAGCCACCAGCGCCGCCGCAAAAGTTAAGGACGGTAAGGGTACAGAAAAACAATAATGACACAATTATAGACTTGGTCCTGTATTTTTGTGCAAAGCTTTTATTTTGAACGCGGTAGTGCACAAAGAAGCAGGAGTGGGCGTCCGTGTGGCGTAGCAGCAGGGTAACGTCGCGTCAGTCTTAGCAGGGGGGGGGGGGCAGTGCTCAGGCGGAAACAGGCAGGCGGTGCAAGCGAACAGCAGTTGGACAAACCTCGCCTTCGCTTCAGCGCTAACTCCTCATACATGCAAACAAACAGAAACAAAGCAGGTCAGCATATGTACAAAATACAGAGGAAGCAGTTAATAACGTTTAAAGCGCCTGCTAGGCAGTCTGCAGTGGACGCGCGTACTGTGGGGCGGCCTATACGGAGGCTGACAGGCGTCAGCAGTGTAAAATAGCTTAATGAAAACAGACACGACTCCGCCATGACATAATAGTATGAGGTTGTCACGGCAACCTTCATACCACATGTTCGTGGCTACGTTCTGAAGTACCTCACAAGGTCACGTTACGCCGCGGCCACTGCCGTTGGCGCGTTATGTGGAGTCTTGCAAAGACTACGCCATGACATACATCGTACGAGGTTGTCACGGCTACCTCCATACCACGTGTTTGTAGCTACGTTCTAAAGTACCTCACGAGGTCACGTTACGCCGCGGCCACTCCGTTTGTCGCGTTATGTGG